CTACAGGCTTTTCAACTTATCTGTCTACGAGAAATAAAAACTACAAGTGATTTGAGATATAAGAAGATTGCTTATTTATTTATGTAAAATATTTTATTGTGTCATTGTATAAATACAGCAAAATTTTATTGTTAACACCTTGACTAAATACTATTCCATAAAGAAATGAATGAAGTTTGAATATATAATAGACCATAACTTAGTTAACTTTGAAAATATTATTTTGTAAATGTCTATATTCTTTGTTGTTGATATTTCCAGAGTGAACATGATCAGTCCCGAATATCTCTAGGAGTTATTACTTACTTACGCCTATTACCCCCAATGGAGCATAGGCCACCGACCAGTTTTCTACAACCAACACTGTCCTGGGCTTCCCTTTCCAGTTCTGCCCAGTTTTTGTTCATTCTTCTCATGTCTTTGTCTGTTTCTCAGTGTAATGTGTTCCTGAGCCTTCCTCTTTTCCTTTGACCTAGAGGGTTCCATATGAAGGCTTGTCTTGTGATGCAGATGGATGCTTTTCGCAGTGTATGTCATTTCCACATTCAGGGCTTCTTCCTGATTTCCTCATCCACTGGAATCTAGTTTGTTTTCTCCCACAGCAAGTTGTTTCTGATAGTGCCTGGCCAACGAATCCGAAGTATTTTGCGTGGACAACTGTTCATAAATACTTGTATCTTCTCAGTTCTTACTTGGCATTGAGAAACAGATGCAATACCAAAGTTCGAAGCGACAGGAGACAATTTCAGACGAAGCTAGCCGCCAAAATGGAGGCAAACCCGAAAAATCTGTTTAGGTTCATTTCCAAAAGGAAACACACTAATCAAGGGTTGTGTTCTCTAAAAGGACCGAACGGGGAAGACCTCACCAACCTAGAGATTGCCGAGATCTTCAACACCCATTTTTCTGATCAATTAAACCAGAAGCCTACATGTTCACAGTACTACGCCAACCCATTGCCAGCTGACGGCTTAGGGAACATCCGTATCACTCCTGGCTTAGTATTAAGGAAACTAAAATCTTTACGCCCAGGTAGGTCACCTGGTTGTGACGAAGTTCGCCCCATAGTCTTGAAACAGTATGCAGAAGTCCCCTGTTCACTGATATGCGACCTGTTCAGGCATTCACCGGAGTCAAAACATTTCCCAGCCGAATGGAAACAAGCTTCTGTCTCTCCAATCTTCAAAGGAGGAGATAGAAAGGACTCAGTCTGTTACAGACCAGTCGCAACACTACCAATATTATCAAAGGTTATGGAAGGGCTAGTGGACGAACAAATGAGGGAGTACATGGATAAGAATAAAATGCTTCATGAAGCTCAAAAAGGGTTTCAGAAAGGCAGGTCGTGTGCATCTAATCTTCTCATCGCATGGGACAGTTGGACATCCTGTTTGGACCGTAAAATAATAATAATAATAATTTATTCTCAAATAACAAACATGTTACAAGAAACATGCCAATTTACAGGCAAGATCAAATTGTTAAGATTAGCAACATATTTCTTTTAAAACGGTATACAGTTACTGAAACATTTCACAAGATTCATTGTTTTCTTAAAGATGGAATGTACAAAGCGAGTAATTGGCGCAAGTTACGAAGGTTGCGTTACGACAATCATCTTATGGACTGAGAAACGATTCATGGTACGGATGGGTTTTCATATAACAAGAATTGATGCGGTAAATGTACAAAGGTCTGGTTGATTTTCGTCAGCTAATGATTTCACATGTTCTTGGGTAGGGTAACCAAGTCTACTGCAAATAACCAGACCAATATATGTGGGTTGGAATAAGGTTCTGAAAAAAGAGGAATAAAGAAAACGGGACGAGGAGCAGAACAGAAAATATTCATGTTCAAAGCCGAACAATGGCTTTGAACATACGTTTATGGATAAAACAAAGGTATGTTTACCCAAACATTTTTAATATCAGAACACTTTACACCTGCGCTTATGTAGGTTAATGAAGACAATTCAGTAGTGAGATAACTAATGAGAAGTTAGTCGAAAGAATCGAGGAAATTCAGAAGAACCAAGTTGTTAGTAATAAAGTTGATTTACAAAATATAATAAAGTGGATCAGTGATATAATTTTTTGGTTTTATTTATTCTTTTTATTTTTTAACTCTGAGGCTCAAGAAGTTATGAATGAGCTCTTTTTTAGTATAGTTGTAATAGGATTTCTCGGTAGGAAGTAAAAAAAATGCAAGGTTACAGACATGGGTTGTAGACGAGGTTAACTAGGAAAAGTAACATCAATATCACTGATTTGTTACATCCTGCTATATCTTAAGGAGCCGTAAGCAAACAAAATGTTCTGCCACGTAATATTTCTCGACTTTGCAAAAGCCTTTGACCCAATACCCCACGCACGCCTAATCGAAAATGTTGTGGAAATGGGCTTAACCGACCCACTCCTGTCTTGGCTCAGAAACTACCTTGAGAATAGAAAGTTTCGCACCAAGGTAAACAGAGTGCACGCGAGCTGGCGAGTATCCACATCGGGAGTCTGACAGAGGAACATCCTAGGCCCACTTCTCTTTCTGATATTTAATAACGACCTGTTAGGCTTAGTCAGCTCACCGGCATTGATCTACGCAGACGATGCGAAGATCTGGAGACCCATTAGAAGCGAAGAGGATTCGACTGAGCTTCAAAAGGACTTTACATCTATTGAGAAATGGGCAGTGAAAAACGGTTTGAAACTCAACCAACCGAAGTGCCACGCCATGCATCTCCTGCCTCACATGACGCAAACGATCTATACTCTCAATAGAAGTCCGCGATTTCGGTTTAATAACCACAGAAAGCCTCTACACCAGTCCAAACTATGTAGGGGATGCAGCCAAGGCAAATGCGACTCTTCACTTTATACGAAGACAGCTTGGTGCTATCACGCCGAAATTATTTTTAACCCTGTTTAAGACGTACGCGCGCCCACGCTTGGAAGTTCACAACGTCATCGCACCCCCTCTGCTTAATAGAGACATAAATCTCTTGGATCGAGTGCAGAGACGAGCAACAAAATGGATGATAGGGTTGAAAAATAAACCCTAGGACGATAGACTCCAGCTCTTGGGATTATTTCCACTAAGCTACAGGAGATTCAGAGGCGATCTGATTATGGCGTACACCGTATTAAACACGCCAAACCATCCCAATGTGAGCATCTTACCGATGCATCACCACCACTAACCTTGAGACAATCCTCAAGAGATTGTACATCATAGAGCGAATACTCAGATTCGTGCACACTTTTTCCCATTGCGAGTCGTCGCAACTTGACATGCTCTCCCAGCCGAGGTGACTACAGCCCACTCAGTGGACTGCTTTAAGAAGAGACTTGATAATCACGTACTCACATACGGACTATCATCACCCTCTTGGAGAAGCTGTTCATGATGCGTATCTTGAGACCTGCCAGTTTTTATCATTGCCATCTACTCAGATCACATACTTAACCTGTCTCGCCCATTAACTTTGTTTCCTCTCCCTTGCTTACATTTCGGTCCTCTCACAGTCTTTACTACCAGTTAACAAACTAAATTCATCTACATATTACTCAGTTCTGAAATTTTATTCATACTAGCATTAGAATTTCATCCTTATTATTGTGGTGGTGTTTTCTTCTCTGAGCTGAGAGAACAAAACACCACCACAATCATCCACCTGAGCTACAAGTTTTCTCCATTATCTTTATTATACTTATTATTCTCCACATTGCAACTAACTGATCTCCGGTCTGTTAATGTGACGGCTGCTGGTATCCAGAAACCCTACTGCCCTGAAACAAACGTTTTCATTCAAATCCCGAGACATACAAACTCACAACCAACTGCCGACTGACTAGAATTAGACAGTCAAGTGGCTAGACCTCCATTCATTGGACATTACCGAACACCTGGAACCGTACCGAAAGAACAAGAATCGAGCGTGAAGAAATCAAATTGGTTTACACTGGCTCGTAAAACAGATATTGTATATTGGATACTCTTGAATTGGACTGAAGGTTGAAGTTTGTTACGTACAATCGTCAGTTGCTCGAAAGAAAAATGGCGACTTTTCAAACATAGTTGGTTTAGTTGTCAGTCATGATTGTTCATGTACATTTCTAGATAAACAATGTATGTACTAACTTTTCATGATTGCAGTAAACATGGTTTTACATTTTGACCAACATCGCTCCATATACATTCAATTTCATGTTTGACGACATGCATATGTAATAACTCTTACATGCTAGTAAGGGAAATACAAAGATGAAATTAATACAAATGTTTATTGACTCGGCAAGCATAGATATGGTAAATTAACATGTTACGCTGTTTCTTACCGAGGATAACTCGATAGTACTTCAAGACGACATCCTTAGGTTTCTCATAACGAATAAAATGTGAACTCAAAAACTGTACCTTTAATAGGTGTGGTCCGAAAGTTTTGAGATTTCGCCTCCTAATGAGACAAATCTATTGCATTAAATCGGCTTAGTCTCCATCCATCGAACAATCTGCGTACGTAATTGATGCATTGGTATGATCTCAAATATGTCGTAAGGAATAAACTAAGACCATTTGTATTTATCTTGAAACAGTCATGCTGTGTTTTTGATTTCCTTAAAAAGTCGCTATAGTCTCTTATTTTTAATTTGTTCAGCTAATGACTATTCAAGATGACGTTTTTTGCCATTCTTATGGATGTCTTGATAATAACCAGAATTTATCTAGGGGTGGCTGCTGCGAATCACTGTTCCACTCCTCTAAGCACCGTTCTACACCAAACCTATTAACTTTATCTGGAAGCCAGATGGAAAGGGTTAAAGTAATTGGTTTCGATTGGTCTTCTAGTTGTTAGATCATTACTGAGTTCTATGATGGTGAAGAAGTACTTGTAAATGATCTAAAAACTGTTGTTAAGGTAGAAGCCGGACATATTTTACTCAACTGGTTGTAGGTATACAAGCATCCATTAGGAAAATTGGGGATACTCACGTCAACAGAAATAAATGAACTGTTTTTCTCAATCGAAGCTGTTATACCAGTTTTTGAAGGTTGGTTATGTTTCTCTGTGTAATCCTTGTGTTTTAGCATTAGCGAATAGCTTTTCTTTGGAATTTAGTAAATATTTCAGCATACCTTATATTGGAACGATCTTATGTACGTGGGTAAGCCTATTGCGTTTTTATATTTTTGACAAAAGTAACTTATAATACTAGTTAACCATGCTACATGACTCCTATTGTCCTACTTTGTCAATCACGAAATTTTATGGCTCATTCTTCCAGTTCTTGTGTTAGAGAGAGATAGTTTCTCATGTTTGTAGTGAATAAGATGGAGAGAGAATGATACGTTGTGCAAGTTAGGTATCATCAAATCATCGGTGTCTGACCCAGTGATAAAGTAAGAATCAAAGCGTTCAGCCGATTTCTCTGACTTCACTGTCGGTGGACGTTTATAAGGAAATGTAGGATGAAACATGTTTCCATCATTTTTTATTGTTGAGTTACTAGGAATATACTACAGACTCATCATAGTATTACTTAATTCCTTTGACTATGAAGCTATATGGCACTAGAAACCGCCATTCATGTACATGGAGATGATTCTTTGCAGTTCGTATATCATTCTGCTTTCTTTGTTGATCTAATAAAGAACCTGTGTCATGTCCTTCGTATGCTTAAGAACCAAACTGAAAAAAGTCAGTTTCATCGCTGTACCCATAAGCAGTAATCATTCTCAGAAAAATTATGACAATTGCTCTTCACTAATATACGTGTTTAAAAGCGAGAAACACCGAGTACCGTTTTTAGGTAGTAGTTGGAAATAAAAGGATTTATTCGAACTTTCTATCTGTGGGATGGTTAGTTGGGCAGGATCTTTTTGTCGTTTAATTACTATTGTTAGAATTTTCGTAAGTAACTGAGGGGTGTCCCTGGGACAATCGTAACCAGTGGTTAGAGACTTTGAATGATATGGCTCGAAATAGTTTGCGATGGCACAGGTGCATTCATTCTTTGTCTTCTCTCAAATTTTGATTTTATGAATTCCTCATATCCTTTATTCCTCTTTTGAAATTTGTTTCACTGAGGAATATTTCTGGGATCATATCTTCCATTCTCAATCTTTTCACTCATCACTAATACTGCTCTTACGTGCTCTAGTACGAGATTTGGAATGACTGTCCTATTTCTCTATGCCAGTGTGGTATGACACCTTTAACTGATATACTTACGTATCAACTTCTACGTTGTTGCTGACTGACTGACATAGGCAACTAATTATTTTCAGTCTAACAGTTTTGCATATCTCTCTTTAGTCCCTGTTCTTTTTGGCTAGTAACTATGGTTTTAAATTTACGAATTTTGATGAGCAATTGCTTTGGCGTGTGTTTCGAACTACCATTTTTACACTAATTTTGAACTAGGTTAAAAAGACGTTTATTAAATGAATCGTATATGCTAAAGTAGTTCATTATTTTAACTGATGTTGTTTTACAAAATATTTTCATTTATTAGTTAGGTCTTGAAGTAAAAACAAAACCACAATCTGGTTTCTTTAGTTATGGATATAATCGTTTTTCATATTCAACACCAAAATATGTTCAATCTATCTGTGAGAATTACATCGAGATAATGCCTTCATCAATAAAACTGCTCTTGGATTATTCAGCCCATCTATATGAAGCACGTAAATATTTTGAAGCCTTACGCGAACAAAAGCCTGGTTTTAGTGATTTTCTATCACGTTGTTCACATACCAACTTCAGTAAACGTTTGGATTTGTGGCATTTCCTGGGTAATTAACTCATATTATTTTTATATCAGAAGGTTTTATGAATTAAGTCCTATATTGTTTTGTTTATTACGATCATGACATTTTTCTAAATGAATCGTATTGATATTTCTAACATTGGTGATTTATTTGATTAAATAATTGTTGCAGATTCAAGTTTAACTCATATATATATATATATATATATATATATATATATACATATATATATATATATATATACATTATACAGATGAATAATTAGTGCTTCTACATATGGTCTTAAAACATCAATTTAGTTAAAGTTGCTCTTCTACTGAGGGGAAGATCATGTTACTAAAATTACGTATTTTCCGTATCACAAAATCAAGATTCGGAGTTTAGATTATTAGTGTAATAGATTTATTTTACAAATGGGCCGTACTTGTAGGGTATTTATATCCAGTACGTGCTCGTAATCCTTGTTAGATTACTAAGTTATGTATTAGTAAAAGTATATATGGTGCTCGAGGGTAATATATTCAAATGTTCGGTTAAACGACAGTTGTATAAATTTTTAAAATCTGTACTGATTGTTCCCAAACCTCCAGATGCTCTGGTGCTGTCACTGGTGAGGACAGTCCACTTTCTCACAATATAACCTTCTAGTACCTCATACATTTGAGTTTGTTTATGTTCTATTTGGTTAAGCCCTTTTATTAACTTATTTAACAGACAGAGTCATTCGTATAGCTGCAACTTATCTTTACCATTGTGCTTTTATAATTTTCGTGTTTGTATCAGCACAGACAGACAGATACAACGCAGAACTTCGTACATAAGTACATCAGTTCAGGTTGCCATACCACATCAGCACAGAGACGCAACTGTCAGTTAAAATCCCGTTGTGGTAGTGATAATAGAAGTATTAGCAGTAATGGAGAAGATTATAGTCCGAAGATATAATTCGAGAAGTATAATTCAGTGAGATAAATTTAGAGGGAGAAAGATAGAGATTATGAGGAATTCAAAAGGTTAGAATTAAAAAGCACACAAAGAGTGGATGCACCTGCGCCATTGTAAACGATTCTGAGCCATGTCGTTCAAGGTCTCTAACCATTGGTGACTTTCGTCTCGCGGACCCCAACCAGATAGCCCACATCTACCAACATGACTCAGTCCACTTGTCAGTGACTTTATGGATCTCTGCCATGTTTTGGTCTGGATGCCCCTAATGTTTGTATCAGCAAGTATAATTGAATATTGGTTACCGCCTACACGCATATTCATTCTGCTCACTTTAATGTTAGCCTCTTAAACAATTCAATGATTCATTCATTTCTCTACATATATATTTTTACATTTTAATCGTTTTCATTTACTGGCTCACTAACTCTCTCGCTTCCTGTGCCTGTGGTTTTGTGATCTGTGTGTGGTGAGATAATAAACGTAATCAGTGCTTCGTATTCGTCTTCTTTAGCTCAAATCCTCTAGGAGTGGCCGCCTAGAAGATGACCTGCTTCTGTTTTGCGGCAGTATCTCAGCTCACAAATATTAGCTCTGCAGCGCGTACTGTACTAGTTTATATCATTTTTCTGCAATCCCTCTTCAAAAGAACAGGAGGCAAGTTATAGGTCCTAAATTTTAACGTTTCTAGCTTATTTCATGTTATGTTCATCCGAAATTGGTAGGTATCTTATCAGATCTTTGTTAAATACAGTAGTCAGTAATTGTTAGAAGTTTTTAGTTTTTGAAGGATATAGTAAGGAAAAAAGGTATGCATTTGTATGTTCGTAGTGATCTTACTTGCTATGACTATTTGTTTAATCTTAATCGTTTTCGAAAGATCGCATAAAACTTGACCGTACTTCGTTAATGCTAGTAAGCAACAAAATTTTGCACAATTTTCTTTACTGTGCTATCATTCTCTTTTGTGAAAACGTTTCAATATATACTTAACAAGAGAAGTGAAGGAAGAATATATGTAGCTCTCATAGATGAAGTGAGCGTAATTATTTTCGTTGAGTTTGCATTTTACCATAGTTCTATTTTATACTGTTTACATGCATTGTATGTATGTAAATATTTAGAGAATGCGTCTGTCTATTCTTATTTTATTTCAAAACGTACTCGGCTCATTCTCATTTTCCTCTTGTATTTTATTAAAATCTGTTTCCATTTTTCTTTTCTATAGAATGTCCCAAAACCAGATTGACTAGATATCCTTTATTACTAGATCGATTGATTAAATTGGTGAGTTTTCTTGGAAGTTTCAGTGTGTTTGTTCACTTTTTTTCTGAACGGTTTCCAAGTTTGTTTTTTTTGTCAGACCATCACCACTAATGTGGTAAGGAATGTGCGTTCGTAAGACTTAACAAATCGTCTATGTAATAGTCAAGTATGTGTGCTTGCTTCTATGCTGCTTATATAATTAGTTTTCTATTGTTGACATTTTGTCAGTTATTATTTAGAATCTGACTACTGGCTACCTGCGTTTTATCTTATTGTTTTTTTTAGAAATATTCTATTTACTTCCATTTACATTTTATTTATATAGACTAAACTCGAGGCAATTGCTTTAAAAAACTCTACTGTTGACCTTAATTGTAACTGTATCCCTACTATATTGGTTAGCACCACCTAGACGAGTTTGAAGAATGCAGGGTGCTCAATTTATTATGAATAGGAAAATAATGTAAAATATAGTTGTATTAGGTTAGCTGATGCTAATCTGAGGAGTCCCATACCAGGACGAAAAGTCCGTCCAGTGCTTCCAGGTTTCTAATGGTGGTCTAACATTGATCGATTCATTGTTTCAAAAATGTGTAACTTAACAATCTTCACAACCCCGTAATGCAAATCTAGGATATCTCTACAATGAACTACTTATAGGTTTACAAAGTTAATGTATTGAGAATTGATTCTGTCCATCATCAAAATTAATAGCGTCTTCTTATTTCTCATATGATCTCTACTCTTGTTTTTTGTTGTTTTAGCATGTCTCACCGTTTTGTTCAAGGTGTACAATTTTATGTGGTTTGACGTCTTAATTTGCAGACCAAGTTTGTATTTGAATAAATCTGTTTTACTTAATATTAGTATTTATTTTATGATGGTAATATACTGATTTGTATTCAATTTTCAGACGCCCTCAACTGACCCAGAACTTAACCATTTACTCGTTGTTCGATCTGCTTTTACCTGTATAGCTGAAGAGTTAAACCGTCGAATTGGTGAAGCTATGCGTAATTTTTACTTGGAGTACATAGAATTTCATGGTAATTTGGAAGTAGGTCCTATTCTTGTTTAGTTAATTTTCGTTTTTTTGTTGTCAGTGTCTGTTTTCTCTGAAAAGCAAAAATTTTATCTGTTTCATAAGTATTATCAATCTTGAGTATGAAGACATCGGGTTTGAAAAATAGTTATGTAAAAAAAGTGAGTGAGTTTTTAATTTATTGATTTGTCAATTTTTAGCTGAATGAAATTGATAATAGATTAAGCAGTGCTCACTCACAGTTTCACGTTTAAAATATTCTACTAAAGCATTCGCTTTGTTGGAGAAGTTTTTTGTATGCATACTCGCCTCCATGTACCTATATTAATTTGTACTCTGGTTATTAGAAGGAGCATCGGCCTCGTGACTTCCGAAGAAACTTGGTTTTCATCATGATGCGTTATAACTCTTCTAAGTGGAAGACCTTCCCACCCCAGGGCAGTTTTAATAATTTGAATTATTTGTTATAGTTAGCGTTTGTTCAGTAAGTTGGTTTTCTACGGAATGAGGTCGCTAACCCTATGCCCGTTCCTCCTTCTTTATCTGAGCTTGCGTCCGGCAGATATAATGAAAAGGATTAGCAAAGCAAGGGTGACATTTCTATAGTTGAAAAACGTTTGAAACTCAACACAACTATCAACCAAAATCAAAGTCTCGATTTTCGGTACGAACTTCAAAACTGTTATATTGTATGGAGAGGAAAGTTGAATAACTACGAAGGCCATCATTTAAAAGATACAGGTGTTTATTAACAGTTGTTTACTCAAGATACTGCAGAGCAGTTGGTCAGACCCCATCAGCTACCATTTACTATAGGAGAGCGCGAAACAGATCTCAGTTGAGGAAGGTATAAGGAAAAAGCGCTGTAAGTGGATAAGACACATTGAGAAAGTCACCCAACTGTATCACGAGGCAAGCGGAAAGTTGGATTTCGCAAGGTGAGAGGAAAAGGAGTAGACCAAATAGCACAGTATGCAGAGAATTGGATTGTGGCAAGAAGAGCGATTGGGAAGAACTGGAATGAGAGATGGAAGACAGAGTAGGTTGGAGAATTCTGGTTGGAGTTCTGTGTTTCATTTGGGGTAACAGGCATAATTAAGTAACTCAGCCTCCGACTATGAGGCCGTACGTTCGATCTGTACCCGGTGTGAACTTCACCACAGTGCTTATAACCATTAGTCTATTAGTTTTTTGATATACTTGCTATCGTATGGTATATATATCTGTTTGGAATCGTATACGGATATTGAAGATACTAGTACTTATTCCGTAATATTATCAAAGTAGCTTTAACTTATAAGATTGATGATTGAGTAACGTTTAATTAGCGTGATTGAGTTCGGACAATTAAAAAATTGCTAATCTCAATTTATATTGATTAAAGTATATTTTTATAGCTTATTTCACGGACTGATCTTATGCTTCCTTTGAAAACCAGTGCATTAGGCAGCTGTGCTATCTTATCATCGAACTCCTGATCAGTGTGCACCCACAAACGAAACCGTTTTCTAACCTAGGAGCTTTAGATCTCACAACGAGCTCTAAATCTTCAGACCGGTGAACCAGCTTCTAGTACTGTACATGTCTAGCTGAAACCGATTCGCGCGACTACGCGATCATCTTCCATCGGCTTCGATGGACAACTGTCTCACACCTGACATAGTTGAACTCCAGTGGACACGGTTTTTCACTCAACCTCACTAGGAAGTACATATTTGTTATCAATATAAAGTGGTTCATTTGGTTGGTTGGATTTAGATTATTTACGTCACGGTTTGTCACACTCTGTCAACATGTTAATTTTTATAGAAATTTCTAACCTCGTAACATAATAATAATGTAAATGATAAATTCATTCTTATTTCCGCCTCTGTATACATTCTATTAAATTTTATTTTGTAAAATCTTTTACTAAACTCATCAGTTACAGTACAAAGATATGATATGTCATCAAAAATCACTATTACTGAGAGGCAATCTACATACTGGTATTGGAGAAGTAAGTAATGTCTACATTTGTATCTATTGTATAGTTTTATAAATTAAATACTTAGTGACTACTGTTTAATTAAATTAGACTGAAGTAAATATAATATTCTTTTTAATTTTAATTTTTTTAAGCAGCCGAATACCTTCAGTCTTGTTTTTGAATGCAAAACACCTTTTAATACACTACATACCTTTTTTTTGACCTAACATCGTATTTCATGGTGGTTTTGGGTTTTATAAATATTGAAATTAAGTCTTTGATAAGCATGTTTACGTGTTGCTGTTTAAAAAAGTATCAGTCTAACTCTTAATTCTTGTTTATTTTTCTTATCCATTCATTTGAAATAGTTAGAAAGCAAAGAATATGTTTTGTTTAATTGTTCTGTTGTCCTATTGAATAAGTGTTTATTTTAATTTTATTATTTAACTTTCACTTCACTTAGTCGGTACAGAGCATAAATTAGTCGTACACTTTTATTTTTGTTGTTGTAAATTTATCAAGCTCAAATAAATCATCACACTGAATAATCTTTCTCTTTTTAAGTTTATTTCACTGGATCATACTTCTTGAATTATATTTTCGAACCCTAATCTTTTTGATTACTTCTAATGAATTTATTACCTCTACTACTATGGGATTTGAATTGACGATTGCGTCTCTGTGCTAATATGGTATGGGGACTGGAACTGATGTATGTACGTACAAAGTTCTACGTCAGGCAGTCAGTTACAACGTAGAACTTCATACGTAAGTACATCAGTTCAAGTTGCCATACCACATTAGCACAGAGATATAATTTTCAATTCAAATCCCATAGTAGTAGAGGTAGTAAAAGTATTAAAAGTAATCGGCGAGGTTATGGTTCGAAGATGTTATTCAAGAAGTATAATTTAGTGAGGTAAATTTAGAAAGAGGAAGATAGGGATGACGAGCAATTCAGAAGGTTATGACTTGAGATAACACAGAGAATGTATGCACCTACGCCATTGCAAACGGTTTTGAGCCATGTCACTCAGGGACTCCAATAATCGATTATTATCATCTCGCGGACCCCAACCAGGTAGTCGACACCTACCGACATGACACAGTCCACTTGTCAATGACTTCATGAATTTCTGCCATGTTTTGGTCTGGTCGCCCCTAACTTTCTTCCAACCTACTCTTACACCACAAAACATCGCCCGTCGAGACAGTCGTTGGTTAGGCATACGTAAAACATGTCCCAACCACCTCAACTGATGATGTTTCATTACTTCGTCTATTGACCTGCCATCCTGATGTAACTCCCGTTTCCTAACAACAGCATTGCTTACTCGGTTGTCCCACGATACTCGAGCAATGCTTCGAAGACACCTATGATCGAAAACCAATAACCGACGAATATCTTCTACTCTGACTGGCCATGTTTCGCATCCGTATGGTAAGACGGAGCGAAATGCTGCTCAGCACTCTCGTCCTTTAGTCAGCAAGCGGATATCTTGCCTGCGCCATAAGTGACGCAGGTTGGCAAAAGCCAACCGAGCCTTCTGTATCCGTGCTGAGATTTCATCAGTCACCGACCGAAGCTGCTACCTTGACGTGGTGGGTTAGAAAAGGTCGACCCTAAAAAAGAGCGGAGCTAATACTCAAAAAACCTGTAATAAAAAGGCCATGTGTGACTGGCCTCAAGGAGTTGTCCTTTGTGCTCTGCGATAAGCAATAATAATAATATTTCTTCCTTTATATCAATACATATGGATAACTGTGGACATACGTTCGTTTGGGAAAGTGTTGAAATACTGGATAGGGAGAGCACAAAGAGCACTAGAGAATTTTTAGAAGCTTGCCACTCAGGTCAATCAGCAATCAACAAACACATCGACATTGACTTAATTCATCAACCAATCACAAAAATCATAGACGACATAGGATCAAGAAACAGATCAAAGGGGGGATACAATCAAAATAAAGGTGCGAGCAACGACAGGTTTAAGATCAGCAGAATCCAATCAAGATCGAGGTTAACATAACAAGTTACAGGTCAAACGTGGAGAAATTCGAATACTTTACTTCTATCTGAAGTTTGTGCTTATGATTTTGTTCAGAAGAACACTGAAAGCTTCACGACGACCACATCCAGCTCAGTGAACGAAACTCCACCACAAAGATCCACCTCATCTACATGTTTTCTCCTCATATCAAATTCATATGAGCGTGTGTATATTGATGAAATATTTTGTTAATTTGATACTTATATCCTTAACAGAGCATTTATCACTTGATGCTCCAACATAGACTAGATGATACAAGCTGTATAACTATTGAAATAGATTTTTATTATTCATAGTGAGAATAGTTTACTGTACATCGTTCTTGTTGCACTTGATTTTCTTCAAAGTAATATAATGATTGTTTGTAAATCATCAACTTCCGATATGTTTACAAAAGGTTTATTATCTTGAAAAATAGGCGCCTCAGGTGATCCACTTGAAACGATTACCAGTGTTATCTATTTTAAAAAAACAGTTACACACGAGGCGTGCATTAAAATTACACATAATTTCTCCTACTTTCTTTTGTGTGCTGTTAACCTATTTATACCAATCTCAATTACCTTCTTTGTCATTCCAATAGTGTTTATCGTCGAAATATTTCTGTATACATTTAACATTCTCTTTTTCATAATAATTCACTCAAATCTTTAAATTTCAGGTTACCGTTTTTATTTTTCCCCAATTAATGCTTATAACTGCAAGTACTGGACCTGATAGAAATACTCGATTAATATCACATTGTTATCCTGGTAAATTATCACGTCAAACCACCAATCTGCGTGGTACTACTTCATCTAAAAACTCACCAACTTTACCTATCTCTGCACTACCATCTATAATATCCTCTATGAGAACAAGCGTTTGTAGTCATCGATGGTCTTTGTTATCCATTTTGAAAAGTCCACCTAATTCAGAAAATTCTATGAATACATCGTTTAACTCAGGTAATCGACCGTCTAAATATACACGATTATTTCGACGTTTGTCATCAATTATAACAATGTCCTCCTCCTCCTCATCATCATCATGGACAAGGTCAGAAGTTTCCAAACTTATAACAACAGCGTCTTTCACACCAGCCCATGAAACTGTCAGTCTTGAACGATTTCACATCTGCTATCCACCTATAATATTAAAAGATTATGTTTTGGAAAATGTAACTGATGATAATATTCCTTCAAGTGTATTGAAATTTCCTTTTTCCATAGAAAAAACTCGTGAGTTTTCTTTACAATTTTGCAGTTTGTTTTTTGTTTCGCTTCATCTTATAAAACTGTTAACAGATTAGTGAGAAAAGATAAAATAAAACTGACTAGTAGATAGTCGATCCTTGTAACTATATAATTTAAGTTCATAACTATTAATTATAATATAAATAGAAAGATCAGTTTAAATTACCTGGAACTACTATTCACCTTAATGGTGTGGTTTCTGTGAATTAAATCAATCTGTATATGTTTAGTGAATTCACTTTTGTTTGGATACTTACATTGTATTAAGTAAGTAACAAGAGATGCCACTGTACTCTGCCCATGAGGAGGAAAATGCCTAAACACTAAGGTTAGGATGTAAAACGCTGGATATGAAGGTATCATGGAACGATATGAACTGGGAAAAATCAAAGAAACTGTGAGAGGTTCTCAAATCTATAAGCCTTCAAAAAATGGTTATAGGTGGCACCATATTCCAACACTAACACACACAAGGCTACATGGGTTTTACCGGATAAGATCACGGAGAACCAAATCGATCACATCCACATCAATAAAAAGTTCAGAAGAATAATGGAGGATGTAAGAATAAAGAGAGGAGCTGAAATAGCTTCAAATCACCGTTCGGTGGTGAAAATGATGAAATAAACTAAAAGAGCACTGGACAACTAGGCAAATAGCATCACAAGAGTTTAGTACGGCCTTTTTTCAGGATACTGGAAAACTCAACGAATTCAAGATACCTCGCAGGTCTTTCACGACCTTTTTAATGAAAGAGGAAACTACCGCGGAGAACCAACGAAACATGTTCAAAGAAGCAATAACTTCAGCATATCATGAGGTTTTGGGCCACAAGAATCACCATTAAAAGGAATAGATATCTGTTGATACTCTGTATAGCGTTCAAAAAAGGAAGAATATGAAGACAGTAATCCATTATAACACAACAAGAGCAGAGAAAGCAAAGGCACAAGCTGAATACACAGAAGTAAACGAGCAAACGAAGAGGATCATTTAAGCTGATAAACGGAAATATGTGGAAGATCTAGCAATGATAACGGAAAAAGCTGAAGGAGAAGGAATTATGAGACAACTATATGATACAATGAAAAAGCTAGCCTGAAATATCGTAAACCGGAATGACCAGTCAAGGACAAAGAGACCAATGCAATCAGTGACATTCAAGTACAGTGGAACAGTAGAGTAAAGCATTTCTAAGAACTCTTGAATAGACCAGCCGCACAGAACTCATCCAAATTCGGAGTAGCACCTACAAACCTAGTTAATGTTGACTCACCAAAAATGGGAGGACTCAGCATGCCAGGAGGACCACACAGACTACTAGTTGAGGTACTGAAACAGATATAGCAGTTACTATGAAGTTGTATCTCTGTGCTAATGCGGTATGGCTACCTGAACTGGTGTACTTAAGTACGAAGTGCTGCAAGATTTGGGATGACGAACAAGTACTGAAAAGACTGAGGCAGGCGAGGAAGATTGTGTTATGCAAATTTACACACTGAGTCAATTAAAAACGAAAACATTACATTAAATACTCTATTTGCACACCATCTTTGAGTCGTGACTTCAAACGCTCCATCCTTCTTCCATTCCTGTTGGTACTCCATTTGCTTCTTGCTTTTGTTCCATTTGCTTTCCGTTTTCCTCTTCTGACCGTGAGACTTCTTCTTTCGCGTCCCTTCTCATACTACTTATATCGTTCGCATAAGTAGCACACACTACCAGACTGAAAAGAAGGATACGTCACTGCGACACCAAAGAAAGGAGATCTTAGCAAGTGTGAGAACTACATAGGCATCACTGTTCTCTCAATGTCAGGGAAAGTCTTCAACAGTGTTGTTAAACCCAATAAAAATTTCGTAGACACCCAACCTCGAGATAAGCTGGCTAGATTCCGTAGGATCGATGGTGTATGAATTGAATTGGGACACTACAGATCATTGTGAAACAATCAACTGAATTTGACTCAACTTCGTTGACCATGTGATAGCATTTGATAGTGTGGACAGGACAACACTATGGAGGCTTCTTCGACACTACGAAAGCCATCATTCAAAAGATACAGGTGTTTATTAACAGTTGTTTACTCAAGATACTGCAGAGCAGTTGGTCAGACCCCATCAGCGACCACTTACTATAGGAGAACGCAAAACAGATGGAAGTTGAGGAAGGAAGAAGGAAAAAGCTCTGGAGATGGATAGGATACACATTGAGAAAGTCACCCAACTGTATCACGAGGCAAGCGGAAAGTTGGATTTCGCAAGGTGAAAGGAAAAGAAGTAGACCAAATAGCACAGTATGCAGAGAATTGGATTGTGAGATGAAGAGCGATTGGGAAGAACTGGAATGAGTGATCGAAGACAGAGTAGGTTGGATAATGCTGGTTGGCGGCTTATGCTTCATATAAGGTAATAGCCGTAAGTGAACTAATATTGAGTCTTTCATATCATTCACCAATAATGTTAAGCGATTAGTAATAAAATGTATTTTTCAGGAAGTAAACAACTCTTGTATGTCATACATTTCTAAAGTTTGAAGGGTTCTCTTTTAAAGGAAACTGATATATTTATTTGTTTACGCCAGGATGGTTTATTATGTAATATACCTTCACATATGAAATATTTTAGCTAATAATAATTAAATTTCATAATAATTGTTTAGTGTTTATTTCAGTGTTTGTTTTTCTCATAACGGTTTGTGCTTAATAATCAATGGGTTGTACAGTGTGTATAAACATATATATATATATATATATATATATATATATATATGCATATGCATATATTTTATTTCAGATCAAAATGTATTCAAACTTTCTTATTATGATTATTGTGTAAAACGGAAATCCGGAAAAACTGCAATGAAACAATCGAATTTATTATATTCATGTAAAAAAATTCTCTCGAAAACATCTCGTGAAATAAACTGGTTTTCATCGTCACCGTCGCTTTCACAAAAATCCAACAAAACATTATTTAAAGAATTTCTCTTTGAAGCATCTAGTTTAGAGGATAAAAAATTCTGGTTATCTACACTGGCACCACTTGTACGCAGTTATCATCGAAGTTAATCATGCAATAGTTTGATTTTCAATTTAATCGTGAAGTGTACACAAATTGTTTTGTGTTTCTTTTCTTGATGTGTTTGTTTGTTTTTATGCGTTCATGACATGGTTATACAATTTTATTTTGATAGTTGTGTATCAGTTATTTTGCACTCTGGTCATATCATCACTCTCGTCATCATCATCATCATTTGCCTTTATGTGATTTTTTTTTTCAGAGAAATTTATTGAACACATTTTATTTTATTTTTGGTTAATTTTTTTTATTTTATTGATTATCTTTGTATGATTTGTCGTCTCTTTCATGCACATCTACATAATTACTTCTTCTGCTTCTTCTCCACAAAAGTAACATCTTTTTTTTGTCTGTTGTGATTTACTTTTTTAATACTGTGTAAAAAAACAAAACAATTATTTCTTTTTTTTAGTCTTTCATATTTCTTAATGCAGGTATCATTTCACTGGATCTATTATTAATCACTTGAAATAATTTCAGATTTTTTTAATGCACCACTGTAGTTAGTATTATTATTTGTATTAATAATATTAATAATAATAATCGTGATACTAATATTTGTTTTTTTTTGTACTCATTCATTTTCCTCATAATGCTGCCTAGTTTGTTGGTGAAGACTATGATGGTGTTGTAAAACACGAATTATCCTCTCCTTGTGTGTTCATTGTATGTATTTGAATGTGTTTACAATTTGTGCATCTATATTAAAGACGATAGTAAGAAAAAGTCCGATTTTTAAATACTGACGGTAGTTGTGTAACATGATATTAGGCCAGTTTGGGTTATTACTAGATAAAGTGGAAAAGAAAGGCAAGCAGAACTACTCTTAGCAAGAGAATCCAAATAAAACTATTAAGTTGTATTTTAGACAGTCATGTGATGACTTTTTTATTTTCTGTAAACATTTAAGCTCTAATCACTGCTATTTTATGGAAATACAGACATGTTGAAATGACAAATCTAATAATGAGTAGCAATTCTCTTAGTAATAGTAATAATTCGCTGTCCTGAACAAAATGAGTACAGTTTTTAACAAATAAAAGGTGGAAACTTCAGTAAGTAATTAGTTAAGAATAGTACTTGTCAAAAAGATTTATTTCAAATAAGAGGGCAATCAAAGTGTATTTCATTCAGTCAAAAATAGTATCTTATCATGATGGTAACACATTGGATTAATCTGGTTGTGAATCTTAATCTGTTTCGGTGTCTTTCACTAAATCTTTTTAACGTTGTTCTTCTACCAACATGACTCAGTCCACTTGTCAGTGACTTCGTGGATATGTGCCACGTAATGGTTTGACCACCCTTTGCTTTCTTTCAACCTACTCGCAAGACGAAAGTAACCGATGGTTAGAGACTTTGAACGAAATGGCTCAGAATCGTTTGCAATGGCGGAGGTGCATCCATTCTTTGTGTTCTTTCAAATACTAACCTTCTGAATTCCTCATCATCTCTCTCTTTCCCTTTCCAAAGTTTTCTCACTGAACTATACTTCTTGAATATTATCTTCGATCCCTAATATTCTCTATTACCGTTAATTCATCTACTATCGCTACCACTGTCGGATTTGAGGTGACAATCGCGTCTCTGTACTAATGTGATATGGCAACTTGAACTGATGTACGCACGTACGAAGTTCTACGTTGTAACTAACTGACGTTATTCGTCTTTTGGATTAATTTGGTGTTAGAGAATATTGTTGCTTGCGGTATTGCAGTTGTCTCTAAATAGCCATCTGAGCATATCCCTCTCCGTAACATTATATATCAATATTGTAACAAGGGGCTATCATTTAGAACCTAATAGTTCCTTTTTAAGTTATTGGTTTATTATGGTATGATTTTCTTCTTGCTATCTAGTTACATATAAACATATTTCCATCTCATTTGTTTGCGCCATTATCAAATTAGATATCAAGAAGTATGTGGATTCTGTAAGTTACTAAGTTTTTCTGTAGCTACAAAAATCAAATCAACACAATTTAGTAGTAATCATATATATTTTTGAAAGTAGTGTATGACCTAAAGCACAGAGAAAAAAAATAAAATAAAATTCAACCATTGTATTTAATTTGGAAAGTGAAGTTGTAAGCCTCAAATATTCATAACTTCTATCTGTTTGGTAGTTTATCGTCATGTCAAAGAATTCTTCTAATACCAAGCATTCTATAAACTGGCTGATTGTGTTTTCCCTAATTATTTCACTAAAACACATAACAAAAAGAAAATAACCATATGTCAATCTAAACCTTTAAGCTTATTAATTAACCAATGAACTTATAACAACAACAAAAAAAGTAATTCTGAAATTATCCTTGCTACAGTTTTTAACAAGATTACATATACATATATTCATTGTACAATAATTTTTTTAATCGTTTTCACTTATTATTATTATTATTATTGTGGGTTGTTTTTTTTCATTCTTAAATCTTTATATTATAATTTGTGTTAATCGGCTTAATAATATTAGTTCGTGAAAATGAAAATATTAACAATGATTAATTATAATTTACAGTTGTATATCATTTGATTATCACTTACTTGTATGATTGTCATATTTCAGCTGATTGAATTTGATAATCCTTGTGTATGTTTCATGCTTCATGTATGTGTGTATGTATGTATTCGAGTAAGATGATCCTAATGTCTTTTTAGATTATTCTTTTTGGAATAATTTTATTGTGAAAATAATGATCTATTGTTTGTTTGTTTTGTTTTTATCGCTTCTAGGGGTTTATTATTTTGTTTGATTAAAACGTTGGTCAACAGAAAAATTTCTCTGATTGTTATGATAATAAATGCCACCATATCAATGGTGTGTATAAAATAAGTGAGGATTTAAATTACAAGATAATTAGACTTTTATTTATTCTGTTGTTTTCTAATACATTTGTACTCATGGACATTATATATTATGATTACTTATTGTTGATGAGATATAATTTCAATCAGATCATTTCAAAATAATGTTCGTTCTGTATTATATTTCATAGTTAATAGTTGCCTTAATAAACACGATGGGGAGGGAGAGGTGGTAGGCTAACATTATATATCGACAACATAAATAATCTAACTCTTTACAATACCAGGAAGCTATAGACAGCTGTTAAGTCCTCGTATAGGACTCTCAAAAACAATGTATATTCACGAAGTGTCAACCACTGGATGCTTGTTTAGTGGTTTAAAGGTTGTGAACAATTATCCTGAGTTTTATAGTAAGACGGAACAACTGTTTAATGACGGTAATTTCGTGATGTAAACTATCAAAATTCTCTGATCTACAAGAAGTGTAAACTAATCACGAACAAGAACAATCTATTATGATTTGATAGTTATCGTTTTTGTATTCGGTCCAGTGGCTATTTAATTTGATATTTTTGACAACATCGGAACATCAGCCACAACTCCTACATACACGTTTAGTTTCTATCATAAACTGTATCATCCTTTTCAACAACAGACCTCTGTTAAACTTTTGTATCAAAAACTAAATTATGGAGTTTATTTTTCAATTTTATTTAGATCTATTATACATACTATCATACTATGTAGTCACATATTCATGCTTCTGAATGTGTTGCATTATTTTACTACTCATGTTTCCATATTACTTTGTAGTAATTTGTCAGAAATTCATTTATATTTTAGAGAAAAACTTATCCTTTTTTCTATGAATGTTATCTGATCCGGGATTTCGTGAACTTATCTCTTTACCATTATCTCCAGCTATATTACATGGGCTTACACGTGCTGGATTTAATTGTATTTCAGAAGTAGCTGGATTAAGTGTGGATCGTTTGGCTTCTAGTAAGCTTTATTTATTTTCTTCACGGATACTTTTTTTATATGCGAAGTTAGTAATTATTATTGCAATATAAATGATTTAATTGTCATAAAATAGTTAATTGACTCATCTAGTTTATTGATTAGATGCATGCTGTCAGGTTTAGCAGTTGCTGACTGATAGATCTATCAAACTTCTACGAATCATAAGTTATTCGACATGGATACAGAATGCTCGACTGGCTTTTGTCAAGCTGCGTCTCTAATGGTGTGGGCGAGATATCCATTTACTTATCAAAGGGTGAGTTTACTGCGCAGCAGTTCACTCCGTCCTACTATATGGCTATGAAACATGTCCAGTGAGAGTAGAAGATATTTGTAGGTTACTGGTTTTTGATCATAAGTGTCTCCGATGCATTGTTCAAGTATCGTGGGACACCCGAGTGAGCAACGCTGTTATTAGGAAACGAGTAGTAGGTAAGGATGGCAGATCAATAGATGAAGTGGTGAAACTTCATCAGTTGAGGTGGTTGGGACATGTGTTACGTATGCCTAACCACCGACTGCCTCAACGAACTTTGTTTTGTAGTGTAGGAGTAGGTTGGAAGAAAGCTAGGGGCGGCCAGCCAAAAGCATGGCAGAAATCCATGAAGTCACTGACAAGTGGACTGATCCATGCTGGTAGTTGAAGACTATCTGATTAGGGTCCATGAGACGATAGTAACCGATGGTTAGAGACTTTGAATGTTATGGCTTAAAATCATTTGCAATGGCGCAGATACATCAATTTGTTATCTTTTCTCAAATTTTAAGTTCATGAATTTCTCAAGCTTTTTATTTCACTGGTTTATATTTTTTGCAATCGCATCTTTGGTCTTTAATCTCTTCTGTTATCACTGACTTTTTTACTTCCTTCTTTATTTTAGAATTTAGCTTGACATTTTCATCTCTGTGCTAATGGGAAATGGTAACTTGATCTGATGCACGTATATGTTTAGTTGCTTATTGCAAATGACTAGCCGACAAAGTCCGTTACTTTAGATTTATTTATGAACTTCTTGTATAAAAGGAACACTTAAGTCAACGTAAATTTGAAGTTATTCAAAGGATACCTGTATTTATATAACAGAGTTTTCGGATCTGTTTCATAAGTCTGTGACTTTGTTTCTCAAACTTTTGGATTTATGTTTACTGGCATCATTGTCTTTAGGTTGACTGGAATAGTGAATATCACCGTTCAGATGAAATTAATGCCTTATTCATTATTCTAGGAACATGCTTTTTGTAACAACGTGTGATTTAATATCCTATTCAGATCGTATGCATTTTAAAGGTTAACAGTGATGTATGAATTCATCTCCAAACCAGTTTGTAACTATAAGTCATTCATTTTATCTGAGTGTGTTTATTATTATATCTACGATTATTACTAATACTTCTATCACTTTTACTACTATGTGATTTGAGCTGACAATTGCGTCTCTGTGCTAATGTGGTATGGCAACTTGAACTGATGTATGTACGTTCGAAGTTCTACGTTGTGACTAACTAACTAACTGACTGACTCGTCAATAAATATTAAAGTAACTTATTCTATACCGTTTGGGAAATTGAAAGTATATTACTGTTTTTTATGTAGTTTCATTTTAAAATGATCTCTTTGCCAGAAGTTAATCATTTGTCACGTAATCTATACTTTAGTTGTATAATATTAAATATAAGCACTTCAAAATTAGTTTTAAGGCGAACCAAGATTGTATACTACTAGGAAATCTCAATATAATGTGGAATATCCTCTTGTTTTTAGTGAACCTCTTGAACTTTTGTTTGTTCATATTTTAGACTATCAAGTTCATTGATCCGTCAAAACTATTGCAATCATTCAACTTATAATAATAATAATTTACCGTGGTAGTTTGGACCACTATACATTGCTTACAACAGATTGATCAATTCTCAGTTTGAGAATTTCTTTATGTGCATGCATTAGTTCAATAGATTAAGCGCATAGTTTATTAGTTGAGCGACATTGTTTACTGTTATACTATCTTCCCCCATGCATACATTTTTTACCATTGAATTCATTAATAATATTACCAATGATATATTATTAATCCCGGAAAACAGTCGATTGTTAGATTAAAATTTTTATCTTTGCACTTTTTTTTAAAAAAAAAAGTTAGTGGAGTTAGCACTAAAGCTGCTCGTAATGCACTAGATGTTATTCATCGTTATAATCAATCATCTATTGAATGTATGGATATGAGTAGTATTGGTGTATTCGGTTTACGCACAGCATGGGATTTACTTGGTGCATCACAAACAGTCGATGGGAATATTACAGATGAAAAAAAGCGATATAATTATATCGTTAGTATGTGTCGAAGGTAAGTATCTGATTTGATTTATTTTATTTTGTTCCAGATAGAATATTACTTTTCGATTTACTATATGTACTTAGAATAGTTTTGAAAATTGATTACTATTTATATTTCTACTTTGCATGGCCTTCCTCTTTTAACATAGTTTTGATGATCTTCTTGGTGGAGGTTTTCCAACTGGACGATTAACTGAATTATGCGGTGAACCAGGTGTTGGAAAGACCCAATTCTGGTTAGTCACTGATTTGTTTGACCTTCATATTTTATTTTTCTGCATGTAAACTTTATTGGCCAGAGATTTGACTCCGATTCGGAATATTAATTAAATATACTATGAAATAAATCTTTCGTTCGATTTTTCGCTTATTACAACAATAAGAATCCTAATAAGGTTTATTTCTGATGTATTTATTTCATACACTCGGCAAGTAAACAGACATAAGCATGGGAAGTGTAAAAGCGAAGCGAAGTACATTCAAGCGGAGGTGAGTGGACCAAAATTATGTGTTGAGGTATAACTAGGTATTTGTAGTCGGACAAAAATGAGCTAAACATGTAGTAAGCGAAGTAAACAATGTGCTCATACAACCAAGATTGTAAGCGAATAATCGACAAGGTCAAAAGACGTGCCGGTAATAAATCGAGAAGATTGAAGTAATTAGTTCTTCCAAAGGCAGGAACAACCCATATGACTTTGACATATCAGTACATACTACACTTTTTTATTGTCGAGAAAATCAATACAAACTGTTCTAGTGGGAAGACGTGGCCAGTGAAGTTCAACCTGTTCGGATGTAGGCAGTGTCTACCGAAGACTGTGTATGAGGTTGCGCAACTCCGTGAATTTGATCAAGTTAGACATTAACACCGTTGGATACCGGCTCAATGGTCTAACGGTTAGGGCGTTCGCGCACAGTACCGAAGGTCCTGGGCTCGGATCCTGCGGGGTGCAGGAGTCGTGGATGCGCACTTCTGATGAGTCCCATACCAGGACGAAACGGCCGTCCAGTGCTTCCAGGTTTCAAATGGTGCTCTAAAATTGATCGAGTTATGGTCTCAAAAATGTTAAGTTTATTCACTCTACGAAGTCAAATTGTATAACAATTCTGCAACTATCAATATAGAGTTGAAATCATCAATCAGTCATTGTTAGACCACCATCAGAAACCTGGATGCACTGGACGATCGTATCGTCCTAGTATGGGACTCAGCAGTGCGCATCCATGACTCCTGCACCTCATAGGATTCGAACCCAGGACCTCCGGTCTTAGGCGCGAACGTCTAATCTTTGGACCATTGAGCCGGCATCTAACGGTGTTAATGTTTAACTCTGATTGATCTAGAGATTTTGCACGACCTTACCCATTCATCTTTGGTAGTTACTGCCTACCACATAAAGGGTTGGACTCCACTGGTCACGTCTTCTCACTAGAACTCCGAGAATTTCCTCATGAATCTAGTCAGTAGTGAGCACATTTTACGATTTTTCAATTAGAGTTATGGAGATTATTTCAATGTGTAAAAACAATAATCTCCATAACTCTGATTGAAAAACAATATAGCGTTATCGAAACTGTTGAGTTTCTTTGAAGAGTTTCATACTAGGATGCAACAGCCATCCAGTGCTCTCAGGTTTTCAACGGTTGTCTAACATTAATCAGTTCATGATTTCAATGAATTTCTACAGTTGTTCAATATTTTCTAGGCTTAATTTTATCTATCAATATTTTTGCATCATTTTTCCCCTTTTATCTTCCTATTTTTTTTCGTTTTTAAAAGACTTTTCAACATTTATTTTGTCGTAATTATGGAAAACAAAAGATTATTTGCTTGTATAATTGTGATCAACTCTAAAATTTATTTATTAACTTTTATTCCGAATCAAAATGTTACACAGTGTTAATGATATTACAGGAATATTTCACTGAAATATTCTAACCAGTATACTACTTATTCATTGTTTTACTAGTAGTAGTAGTTATCTTTGAACAACGTTAGTGTAAAGTTTTTCATTGATTTCCAAACTTTTAATATCTTTATTAGTTAGATGTTAAATTTTGTTGAGCCCGCAGTTTAACACGTCAGTTGTGATACGCTTGAACTATTACGAGTTTACCTTAGTCAGTAACGAGAGCGAAGATCGATGATCCAGCGACAGGACAGGCTACTCTAATCCGAGCGTCCCAAACCACCATTGAGTAAAAGAAGACTTGTGATATGAAGTAGAACGTGTATTCTACAATCATTCAGAAAGTACAAGGTCCGAGTCCAGAATAGAATCAGGATCCCGGACTAGGCATCCAGATCATAAAACGTTACAGATTATGCGTATTTATACAGTTAGGTCCGAATAGGAAACAACATTTGAAGTATGTGACAGTGATAGTTTAGGACGACCAATAGGAATTGACCAATTGAATTAGACTTACAAATAATCCTCTTAAAATATTTGGTGAATATCCTAACACATTTAATCTGGAATTAGACGTTGAATTCTTTTAGTAATGCACACATGTTGTTATCAATACAATAATTTGTCGTGTGTTGTTCATTGCTTTGAAAATATCATGAACAAATATATTTGAAATTTATATTATTGGTAGTATACTTGTAGATTTTTCTTTTTTTCGTTTTTTTGATGCAACTCCAAACAGTTGAAGTGATAAAATCCTTTGTTTGACATTAATTAGGATAATTTGTATGTGATTGGATATTGAGTTGTATTGAGTTCTATTCATGATTAGTCTATCAGTTGATATTTAACTTAATTGACTCTTTGGCATTTTAAATGGTTCCTATTTATTTTCGCCTTATTCATCTTTATGGATACGCTGACTGTTATTGTGTGTATTCATACTGGACTGAATTGAATTTAACATTTGACGGTTTTTCTTTGTTTGTTAAACAGAACTTTCCTTTCAATGGAATCATTATACTCGTCACCTTTTATTTAATGGGTATGCATTATTTGTTTGTCTTGATTTGAATCGGATCAGTTCTGTTTGTTTCTGAATTTTCCAGCTTCTGCCGTTCTTTTTTCCTATAATCTATTACGAAATTTCATCAATTAGACTGATTAGATTTTGTCTTACTGTTGGGGATGTTAGATCCCCAAAATTCACTTGATAATGCCGTATTTCGGTTTTTCACGTTCGCCAGCAGGGGCTGATCAAATGACCTTGAGATTTCAATTCCCACCAGGAAAATCAATGGCTGTGATTGGCTGCTGTGTATTTTAGTATGCTATTTTCTTAACTGTCTCAAGGACGTTGTTATGTTGTATAAATAAACCAGAGTTGTATGCTTGATTGTACTGGATTGCTGGGTGTTTGTAGAATATACTTTCTACGCTTACCAAGACTTCTGTTTTACCGTTGGATTCAAGGTAGCCTTCCTGGAAGCTGGTAAAAGTATCGTTCGCGTTTATCGACTAAGGTAAACTCGTAATAGCATCAAGCATCCTAAGTGACGAACATATCAGTGGCGACGGGGTAAAAACCATATCCACAAAACATATCAGTGGCGACGGGGCTCACAATTCACAATGTCAATTAATCTTGAACAGTTAGAATCTTTACTGGAACGTCAAGGTAAACGATATGAACAGTTCCAGGAACGTATGTTGGAGCTGTTAATGAAACAAATGAATTTGAATCACAGAGGTTTTGCCGATGATTCATATAATCCGCATACAGACTCGATAGTTAATTCCATTCATGAATTTCATTTTGATGGCCTTGCTGGTGTGACTTTCGAGTCTTGGTTTAAGAAGTATGAGGATTTGTTCAAGGTCGACCTCAACAATCTTGATGACGCCACCAAAGTCAGAATCCTTTTGAGAAAGCTCGGCACAATCGAACACGAACGTTACAGTAATTTCATCCTCCCAAAGAACCCACGAGATTTCTCTTTTGATGCTACAATTGATACGCTGTCGCAAATCTTCTCTGAACAGTCATCTCTCTTTAATATTCGTTATCAATGCCTCAAAATAATCAAGTCAAATGAAGATGACTGGGTAAAGCATGCTGGCTTAGTAAATCGTGAATGCGAACGATTTAAATTATCATCAATGACGGAAGATCAGTTTAAGTGCCTTGTGTTTGTGTGCAGCTTACAATCTCCCGACGATGCTGACATAAGAACCAGAATCCTAAGTAAAATTGAACAGTGCCCAAACATCTCGCTTCAAGAAATAACTGCAGAGTGCCAGAGATTAGTAAACTTGAAGCATGATACCTCCATGGTCGAAAACAAGGGCCTCTCATCATACGTGCATTCCATTAGTGAAAAGAAAAATTCCAATTCGGCCCAAAAACCCAAAATGAATCCACCTTCTGCTTGCTGGCACTGCGGTTCATGGCACTATGTACGGAACTGCCCATTTAGGCAGCATAGATGCAGGAAGTGTAAAGTCATCGGTCATAAAGATGGCTTTTGCCTACAGAAAAAGCCAAAGCGATCCAGAAGTGCAAAGAAGCCTGTTCCTAGATCCAGTACCAATGCATTGAGCCTAATATCTTCCTGCCAAAGCTCATCACCAGGTGAGAGGAAATTTATTACTCTTAATATTAACGGTTATTTGTGTAGAATGCAAATAGATACTGCATCTGATGTCACTATCCTCTCACGCAAAAATTGGACCAAATTGGGCAACCCAAGCCTGCAGCACACAACACAAAAGCCGCGCACAGCATGTGGTAATTATCTTCGTCTGTTAGGACAATTGGAATGTAAAGTTGCTTTCCGGGATTCGTCGTTTACTGGGGTATGCTATATAACGCCAGCTGATCTAAATTTACTTGGTTTAGATTGGTTCGACCAGCTAAAATTGGCTGATGTCCCGCTAAATAACATATGCAACCTGGTATCACAACGACATGACCCAGAAGCGTATACGAAGAAGCTGATGACAGAGTTTTCAACCATTTTTGAACCTGGATTAGGTCGGTGCACTGCTATGAAAGCAACACTTCGGTTGAAACATGGGGCTAAGCCTGCTTTTCGTCCAAAGAGACCTGTACCGTATGCTACATTAGCAACAGTAGATGAAGAGCTGGATCGCCTTCAACGACAAGGAGTTATTACTCCCGTTTCTTACTCCAGTTGGGCAGCACCTATAGTCGTTATCAAGAAGGCCAACGGAACGATACGTATATGTGCTGACTTCTCTACAGGTCTCAACGCAGCTCTAGAACAGCATCATTATCCTCTGCCAGTTCCAGCAGATCT